AGTATATACATCTGTCTAGGTGTGTTCACATCTGTCTAGGTGCTGTTTACATGTCTACAGTTGGTATATACATCTGTCTAGGTGTTGTTTACATGTCTAAGTTGGTATATACAGCTGTTAGGTGCTGTTTACATGTCTACAGTCGGTATATACATCTGTCTAGGTGTTGTTTACATGTCTAAGTTGGTATATACAGCTGTTTAGGTGTTGTTTACATGTTTAGAGTTAGTATATACATCTGTCTAGGATGCTGTTTACATGTCTACAGTCGGTTACATCTGTCTAGGTGCTGTTTACAGTTGATATATACATTTGTCTAGAAGTTGTTTAAATGTCTAAAGCCAGTATATCTTAACGTGTTATCCTGTGTATATTCATTCTGTACTTCAACGGCAGTTGACCCTTAATTACTGTTGCTAAGTAACCTTTCTATATTGATGATTATAGCAATGCTTAGGAGAGGAATTTCCTGATGACGGGATAGACTATTCAGAAATCTCTGAAGAACAGATGATGCTTGGTGTAAATGCTACCAACGATTCTCCCCTAGATGACAATTTATCACACAGTAACAACACACCCCACAGTGACAGCATACCCCAAGGGAAAAAGTCACCCCACAGTGACAGCATACCCCAAGGGAATAAGTCACCCCACAGTGACAGCACACCCCAAGGGAATAAGTCACCTCACAGTGACAGCACATCTGATAATGACAACTCACCCCACAATGACAATACACAAGAAAAAAGCAGCATGGAATCCACTGGTCATGAGAACACATCACCAAAGAGATTACCACGATTATGTCCAGGCCATGAAAGAGCATTGTCTATTGATGAAACTGTAGAAAACTTGGATATGAAGGAAGAAGGTATAGTGAACCATGGCAGAGTGTCAGAGTCTATGCAAAGCTACTTATAAGAATGTGCCTGATTGGCTACCCAATACTAACAGTTGGACCAATCAGCAAGCATTGTATATATGCTTTGACTCAACTGCAGTGTCTCAGAGCATACGCTGTATGTTGTAGTATTCTCATATTATGAGGTTATTATGAGGTTATCTCAAAGTATGCACAAAGACAGTACAGCGCAGTATCGACCGACGTGCAGCGGAGGTTGATGCGGCGGTGGACTGTCTGAGTGCATACTTTGAGGTATCCTCGTAATAACCTTATTATTATACATTTTTTCCTTCCAAGGATACATCATGGGAATGCCGAAATCCAAAAGTTTAGAACAGAATCAGTGGAGTCCGGTCAAACCCTGGTGGCAGCCATGTTTGTTTTTATTATTAGATGACGCGCACACACGTAATCATTCCATATTTGGCATTCTCATTTCCTTATATGGTAGGATGAAAATACCCCGTAAAATACCACAAAATTATGGCATGCTCTAACGATGACAGATATATAATAATGATGATTATTATTATTATTTTGGCTTAAGGGGCATGAGGAATTTGTGAACAATACAAACATGCAGTCCCATATTTGCTCTATTTGCATATAAACCAATAATCACTTTTGCTGTGATCAGACCATATTTGGACTATGAGAAAATCTACTAATACTGTATACTAGTATAGACACATTAGTATAGCTGTTTGTTTATTTTTTACAGGAGTTGCAACATTGCTGTGTTACCTGGAGCTACACCCCCAACAATGGCTTGAAAATCTCCAACCAACCACAGGCTTGTGTCGCATCAGTTGTTACGGTGGACCCAAGCAATTACTCAGTACGTCCAAGAAATGTCCCCCTCTTGCGGCAGCTATTGCGTTTGACAGACGTAAAGGAATATCTCACCGTAACGATGCAAGCATTGAGTTCCCAGTGGTAGAGGTTGCTAGCAGCATGGGATGGGATTCCTGGCCAGTCAAAAAAGAACTGAGACAGTTACAGTGGAATAATGAAGCTGTGTCTGGTAATACAATATTATAATAATATTTTTATATAAATAAACTAATGTAAATACTTTCGCTTGGAATTTATATTCGCTGAAGGAATGAGTCTGAAAATAAAATCCAGCGAATATACCTTTTTTCCTATATTTTACATTCAACTTGTCAAAAATCAGTGAAAATAAATTCCATACAAAATACCCCAAATTGTTTTCAGCGAAAATAAATTCCAGCTAAAATAAAGTAATCTACAGTACATGTAAACTGACTTTCTGACCTTCAGTGTTATCATCTGTTGTATGACTGTAAAAAGCTTAAATTTTGTGCGAGATACATTTTCTTAAATTCCATGAGTCAGTGAAAATAGCAACATTTTGTATCAGTGAACATTTTTCTAGGGTTCAACGACCTAAGTATTAGGGACTTTTGTGAAATTTTGTCTTTACAAATGCCATAGAATCATCAAATCGTGGAAATTCCTGGCATCGAAAATTAAACAGTTCATTTGCATGCGTTATTTATTTGTATCGCATTCAAAAGTTTACTGATTGTGTATTGAGGTCAATACAGAACATCTTTGCTTGTGAATAATGAAAACTATGTTATGTTACTTTGCTTGTATTTACAGGTAGACCAATCGGTGGTAAAAGCGGTGTTTTTGTAGAATTCTCGGATATCTCTTTTCATTTCCGCTCTCCTGGTGATTTAACGGATGATGAATTGGATGGCGTTTGTGACTTTCTAGCTGGCAGAGTCAAATCGCAAGAGAAGGCAGAACTTTATCAATTGCAATGTGTGTATGACTCTCTTCATAGGTGAGCTAAGACACAAACAGTTATGTCTCTATTGAAACTTCCTATACTGTCTTGTTTCATCTTTCATTTTGGAATTGTTGTTATTTGATTGCCCTCATACATTTTGTTGAGTGCAACAATTATCACTTGAATTTTATACTAGTATATACAGGAGTCAAAATTAAGACCTTTCCTAGACAGCCAGATTTTAGCTGGGACCTGTTTATGTGGACAGGTGAATAAAGATATTAAATTTTTACTAACTGACCAATTTGGGTAGGCCAAAATTGCTTAAAGTCCAGAAAATTAATTTAAGACTTACATGTATGTAATGATGATGGCAGAAATTAAATTTTTATTTAAAATAATTTAACTTTTATTCTCCAACCAGTTTAATTGACAGGCAACTTAATTTTTTTTTATTTCCACTTCTTTTATACAAAAGCATTTTGCACATCGTGTAACGAAAATGCCATTTTGTCAACTACTGTGCACTTTATTTTTGCAAGTAAATCTATTCAGTCTGCTAACTGTCGACATATTTTTTTCAAAACAGAAGTAGACATGCTATAAAAGCAAAAAAAATGTATTTACATATCAGTTATATTAGGAATTGATACATACATAAATACATGGAGTGTATTACTGTATAGAGTATAGTAATGTGAATAATTAGAACTGTTATTTGTATTTAGGGTCACTTTTTGGTGTTTGAATACTTTATAGATTGTATGCAGCTAACTTGTAAAAAAATCCAAAAGATTTCAAAATAGTACAAATTCTTGATATTTTTCCTATCAAAAAGATTCCTGGGATTTGAGTATTGTTGCATCCTACTTTGGCGGCCATCTTGGATTTGAAAAATGGGCAAAAAACATACAAATGGGGCTCGTAATTCAACTTTTAATTTTTCTGTTTTATTTTATTTTTTGAAACTGCAGATTACTAAGAATATTTTATCAAAATTTCAGGAAATTCCCCCAAAGTGTAAAAATCTTAAAAGACAGTTTCAGGATTTACTTTTATACGATTCTATTTTCAGCGTTTCATTCAGTGACTATTGGCATTGTAGTGATGACGTCAACACAAAACGCAGTGAAAAACTCAAAGGCATGCTGCGAGAGTATTTTGAGAGGCAGCCAACTGACACATCTGGTAAGATTGGAAAATTGACGTTTGGACAAGAGTTGAGTTCTGAAATACTGAACACAATGCAATTACAAGTGAGTATATATAACTACACTTCTAACTTGAAATGAAATGAAATTAGTTCTCCTAATCTTGTTTCTAACTACCTTGGGAGACAAATTTTGTGTTCTACAGTACAAAAAACTTGTTATGCTGGGAAGCAATTTCAAAAATTCTAGGAAGAAATTAAATGGTAATAATTCACACGTTTTGTGTATTGTTTTTGATTTTGATGAATTTTTCTGTTCTTTCTAAATTTAAAAAGAATTATTATGTTTTATGATCGTTATTTCATAACTGCTTAATTTTCTTTTCTCATGCTAGGAAAAAATTGAAAATGAAATCCAGATACGCCAAGAAGTCAGAAGTTTTATTTGCCTACACCATGATAGAGACTTCAGTGGCAGAGCTATTGCTCGTATATTTCACGGCATTGAAAGCCCATGTTACCCAGCCAAAGTATGGGGTCGAGACAGACGATACTGGCGATGTCACCTCGATGCTGACTTTAATTCATTGATTAAAATAGCTAACTCTGAAATTTTGAGTCTTAGATAAATGTACAGAAAATGTTGATTAGTAATACCTTTTGATTATGTTTTGAAATTATATTGTCAATTTTAATATATTTATAAAGTTTAAAAGTTAAAAATTAAGATGGTATCCCCCTCCCCCATCCCCCTCCCTCTCTCTATTGTGGAATCAACTGGGTGTGGCGCCCAAGTTTGATATAAGGCATTAACAGTGAAGAAAATAACAAAACCATAAGGGCTAATATTAAGTCCTGATGGCTATCAGTTTTAAGGGCTAGCAGTCTCATGACTATATTGGGTAGTCCATCAGGTTTGGTGAGAGCACAATGACGTCACCACTTTCTATTTATATAAAAGTTCCACAGGCATGTACTACTTTACCCCTGTCTGCTCGTGGCTTCTAGCCTCCCTTTCATTCAACTGTATTCAATACATTTTGCCACCTGGCTAAAAATTACATTGTCAGTAATCTTATTCTGATTATCAAGTGTCATCGCCCTCATCAGACAATCTTTCCTCAAAGGGGGTCAATGTTGGGGGTAAGATGTTGAAATTGTATTGATTATGTGGCTATAGTATATCCATTACAATCATGGGTGAAATTTGTTTTTCAAAGTTTTAAAGACATTAATAACTATGAATTTTAAAATGTTAAATTAATAACAATTTCGTTGTTTTACATGTGATGAAGTATTGTATTTGTTGTATTTTATATATTTAATAAAAGTTGTGTTTATGGTTATGTCAGTTGTCTTTTGTATATTTTAAAAAATACAAGCACTTTACATGTCATCGTATCAATTCAAACTTGCGTATAGTGAGCACCCATGGGTGCCAAATTAAACCGATCATCAAAACCATTATCTTTCTATCAATTTCCCTTGGGAAATGTATAACAGTTGAAAAGTAAACAGATATTTGGATATCAAAGGTTTCGCTATGTTTGATAGGGATGTTGAAATCTGAAATAGATTTTGTACGCTTGTGATAAAATGACCACTGTGTTCACATGTACAATGTTACTAAGCATTCCATTATTAGCAATTTTCGTATTTTACAAAAACAATTTCGCTCAAAATGAGACATCCTATTTTAAAAAAATGGTTTTTGTCCATTCCCGTGTTTGAGCTGAACGGTTTTCTCCCTAGTTTGTAATCTCAACTTATGTTGATTGCAAGTCGCATGATTTGAATATGTACGAGACCATTCAAACAACGTCTCATAATATGTGGTCTTACGGTACTTTGGATTTTCCTTCTCAGCATGACATACAGGTAACATGGGTATTATGAAAAAATTTAAAACAAAGTTTATATTGTATAATAAAAATAATAAATTTATTGCATTCTTAGAAATATTCTCCATTGGTTGACAGCAATAAAATGCAAGTACATGTATACGACCTTGTACATTGTTATATTGTCGTTTTTATAACAAATGCCCCTTGGGAAAATGGGATAGTGAAATTTATGATCAGTTCATTCCGCACATGCTGTAGTATGCAGGTTGGATTATTTTTATTAAAATCAAATTTGTTTGATTTGAGAAAATTAGAAATTGTTTTATAAACAGAATGCTAATTATTATTTCGATTTCTAAATAAATGTGAAACTGCAAAAATATTGCTGAAAGGGTAGTTACATAAGACAGGTGGAATTACCGGTGTATATATAGATTGATCACGCGTTATCTTTTTGGACTGCCTTTAATGTGTTCATGAGAGGCCAGGTCAATAACTCTGGTCTGACTGCATATACTGGTATTCACAAGCTGAAAGTACGTATAAGTTTTTAAATTTATTCTGGTCTGTGTAGATTTATTTGCAATTTTCTACTCTACACATATCTGTCTTGTATATCAGAGTTTAAAAAAAAAGGGTGATCAAAACATTAGATTGGTACAGAACTTGTGGCAATTAAAGTCACCGTGCATGTCTGACACAATTGTCCATTAAAAGCGAGTTTGTTTATGGCAAATTTGTAGCAATGTCAATAATTAAATGTGGAATAATTATTTAAAGGTGATCTGTAGAATTTTAATTTGGACATTGTTGAAATAACTTTCAATCATACCAAGGAAAGCTTGATGAAATGCACGTCTTTTATGTCATTATCGTATAATGTTTTACGCAAGATTTATTTTGATTGTGCTATCATTTACATAATCATAATTAACAAAAAGAAGTTTTGTTTTTTCTTAACTGCAAACTGTTTTGATTTATCTGATCATTATGTGTCCCCAAATTAAAAAAATATGGACGTTTTGAATATTCTGCAGTTTATGTTGCAACTGATCTTCGCATTTTAATTTAAAAAGTTGAGAACCTTTGCCATAGAGGGCGCTGTCGTTGATAATCTGTCATGATCCACAAATCCGAATTGCTTCAGACATGGAACGTGGTTTGTACAGGTAGTTCCATGCTTCAGGTCACGGAAAGTGAAATGAAATACGTGAGTTGTCAATTTCCCGAGAAAGTTGCCAAAAATACAATTTTGAAAATTGCTTTATATTTTAAAAAATAGTCTGCATTACAATTTACATTGAGGATGCCTTTTTTCAGGGTTGGCCATTGAGAATCTATGCAACAGTTAAAATAACTATGTTATACTTTAATATTTTTTACAGTTATATTTTTAATCTGTACGAACTGTTTTTCTTCTTCTTCAAATTTTGTTTTATACCGTAAAACAAAAATTGTCGTGGGAATCCCCCCATCCCTAGCAAAAAAAAATAATGGTCCGTCCCTATGTAAATTGAGAACGTCGTGATTACATTATCAAGTAAATTCGTTTCGGTGCGTCGCGATTCCAATAAATTTGTGCGGTTTAAAAGTAGAAAATATCGAACTGTTCGAAGTTCGGGTGTATCCCTCACCCTTTCAAATTTATTATTGACCCAATTTTTCTTGAAAGGTCATTTTGATCACCTGACCAGAAAACAATATGGCGGACGACCCTGGTACTTTGTTGGATTCTGACAGTGAGGACGAATTGCCTGTTGGCTGGGAAGAAAGGTCCACCCGAGACGGGAGGGTGTACTATGCAAAGTAAGACATATTCACCATTTTAGGGAATCTTCTTCAAATTTGGAGAAATTGTTAATTTTTCTGTTGAGTGCCTTGTGATTGGGTGTTGATCATTCATTTGTGGTAGTACAGTATTGTAATTGTCTTCGCATCACGCAGATACCCAGGTTCATGGCGAACGGTACTTCACGTACGTGGTTGTCATGGGTTTTATGATGCTCTGTTGGGTCCTTGAAGTGTTCAGAAGATACTTGCTCCGCATAATAGTCTGAAATTATGCACATGTATCATCCAATTTTCGACATGAAAACTAACCACAGTCATTTCATATTCTATAAATATTATTAGTAAAGTCATTTATTAATAATATTTATAGCATACTAGATAGAAAAGGAATTAATAATGCTGTAGAAGATTTTAATTTAATTATTAATAATGCAGCAAGCCAGATTTTTAAACAAAAACGAAAGAGTAATGGTGGAAATGTTGAACATAAATCAAAGAAAACTTGATTTGACAATGAATGTTGTATTCGCAAAACAGACCTGCGTAATACTGCATGCATACTAGTAATTAGAAATTATTCTTTGGATGCTAACTTAAGGATTGTGTTCTTTACCAAGAAAAAGAAATACAAAAAGTTAATTAGATCAAAACAAAATAAACTTGTTAATATATCAACTGACATAAAAGATAATAATCTCCAACAATTTTGAAAAAAAATCAATGAACTAAAAGGTTCAAAAAATGATCAATCCAATTTCCCCAAGAAAATGGAAAGAATTCTATGAACAATTAAACAATAATGCTACTGATATAATAATAATATTGTTTTTTAAAAAAAGATAATCTTTAACATCTCAGCTATAAAAGTAAAAGAGCATTTTAACAATTATAATTTAAATAATGAGATCTCTGAAAAAGAAATTAGGCCAGCCATTAAAAAACTAAAGAGTAAAAAAACATCATGATATGACGGTTATTGCCCAGAATTACTTAAATACAGTTCAGATTTCTTAATTCAGCCACTACATAAATTATTTAATATAATCCTGGACTCGGGTATTTATCCAGATCTTCAGAATATTAATATTATCTCTCATATCAAAAAAAAGGAGACAAAACTGACCCAGGAAATTATAGAGGAATTGCTGTTTCTAGTTGTGTAGGTAAATCTTTCTGTAGCATATTTAATACTAGAATTAATCAATACATTGAAGATAATAACATTATAAATAATAATCAGGCAGGATTCTGTAAGGGATACCGCACTACAGATCAGATATTTGTATTGAAAACTATTTGTGAAAAATACTTGAACTCAAATGGAAAATTGTATTCATGTTTCATAGATTTTCAAAAAGCATTTGATAAAATCTGGAGAGGGGCTTTTCTATAAATTACTTAATAATGGTATAAATGGTAAAATTTATAACATCATTAAAAATATGCATCTAAATACAAAATCATGTATTCGTTTCAAAAATAAAATTACACCCATATTTGCAATGACCAAGGGAGTTGTGTAATTAGGTTGTCATTCACTAGAAAATGAATCATTAGATACAGTTACATTGAATAACTGTAAAATAAGTTCCCTACTCTATGCAGATGATCTGATTGATTTTCAGATGAGGAACACTGAAAAAGACAGAACAATTCTATTATAATGAACAAAATATTACCTGTGTAGATATGTACAACTACCTGGGTATAAACATAAAGTCAAATGGCTGCTATACTGAAGCCAAACAAAATTTAACAGATAAAGCAACCCGTGCAATGTATGCATTGTAACAGTTCCTACAACCAGAAACAAATTGTAGAACTTTCATTAATCTTTTTAAAAGGTGTATTCAACCAATATTATTGTATGGGTTTTAAATCTGGGGTCATGAAATTCAAGATTACAACAAATACAGTGTAGGACAAAACATGAACAGAAAAAAAAAAAACAATTGAAATTTACAAACAACTACTAGGATTGAACAAATTTGTGGCAAAATATTGCATGCAGAGCCGAAGTAGGAGAATTCCCACTCTTAATAGATATTCAGATTAATTTAATAAATTACCAGGCAATAATATCACAAAAGGAAAGAAATCCAATTTACAATGATTTTCTTCAATACAAAAAATAATGAGCAACATGAATTTTTCACTAGAACAAGAAAATGATTTGTTAACAAAAAATATAACAAAAAAAGTTATCAAACAAAAATACATACATTTTTGGAGAAAAAATATAACTGAAAAAACAAAACTGAGGACTTATAAAACAATTGAAAACTCTGATATAAAATACTTGGATCAATTTTGTTGAATTTGAAACAGAGAATTTCAATGACAAAATTTCAAACTACTAACTAGTAATCATAATTTAGCAATATAAAAAGGGAGACATATGCAACCAAAAAGTACCTACTGAAAACAGAATTTGCAAACAATGTACACAGAATGAAATAGAAGATGAACTGCACTTTATGATATGCTCTCACAAACAAAATTACATTTCACAAGAAACTCGGGTTGATCTCCGGAAATTTAATTTCTTGATGACTTGTAAGGCAAGTATATTCATTGCTCATTTCAAACAAGAAATGAATATGGTCAGGTGATATGTAACACTTGATTTAGTAGTAATTATCACGACTAATCTTTATCGCTATTAACTGATAGAAACATTATAGTTATTATTATTATTATTCACTCATTTCTATTCTAGTCACTCTGGAAAAGCTACACAATGGCAACATCCCAGGACAGGGAAAAGAAAAAGAATTGTTGGAGGCAAGTTGTGTAAATATTTTTAGACTGTCGTGTGTGGAATTGGTATTGAATCTCAGAAACTGATGCCCCTATGTCAATAATGCCAATGGCCATCTCTCGCGACACAAACATTCTTGAAAATATGTGTTTACATTTTATAAAGCCAAAATTGCTTTGCAATTTCCCTCCACCAATCAGATGTACTTTTGTTGCACGTTTCTCCACAAAATGGTTGTGTGTGGTTGCAGACACACTTTCAGTTCAGTTCTAACCGCAAGGAACTCTAGGAAAGAGAATCACATAATGGGTGGAATTGAAACCCATATTGGTACCTTCATTTAAGTAACCCAAGTGGCCCTCTGAGGTGATAGGTATAGCCAGTCAGATTGAACCTGGATTGGCCTTCAATTAAACCACATGTACAGTATCTCTCTGAACATTTTAATCATTTTGTGATTGATCTGGGAATATTTATCCTGCTTGGTCAGTGTATATTCCAGTGTTGCCTGATCAGTCAGTGTATATTCCAGTGTTGCTTGATTGGTCAGTGTATATTCCAGTGTTGCCTGATTGGTCAGTTTATATTCCAGTGTTGCCTGATCGGTCAGTGTATATTCCAGTGTTGCTTGATTGGTCAGTGTATATTCCAGTGTTGCTTGATTGGTCAGTTTATATTCCAGTGTTGCCTGATTGGTCAGTTTATATTTCAGTGTTGCCTGATTGGTCAGTTTATATTCCAGTGTTGCCTGATTGGTCAGTTTATATTCCAGTGTTGCCTGATTGGTCAGTTTATATTTCAGTGCTGCTATTCTATTCTGCTTTAATTATCCCATGCCTTTTCTGTTGTAGTGTACCTGTAATTTGATTGGCTCTTATATGCAACTAATTATTGACCAATCACATGGTTTCCATAATTATCACTTCCAGGCACATAATTTTTGTTATTTTTTCAGAACTTCCATATGGCTGGACGACGGGTGTAGATGAAAATGACTGTCAGTATTTCATTGAGTAAGTGAATAATATCATAAAGTCATCTGTTAAATGCATCTTTATATTTATAAAATTATATTTAAACTTAATAAATGTGCCTTAGTTCAGCTATTGTTTTCTTGTTGTTGTTTTTATTTCTGCTTTCATCACGCAGAACTTTTTCATTTTGTGGCATTTTTTTTAGCAGATATTGTTGTGATGAAATGATATTTTTGAGGTTGTCTCATTATTTATCGTGTATTTGTTATGACTGTGATGTTTTTAAGTTATTTTAATTTGCTTTACATATGCAAATTCTAAATGCACAGGTCTGAAGGTGTTTTAAAACTACAAATAGTAAAGTTACTGGTATTTTGTCAGGTTATTCAGATTTTTCAAGTCAGACAGGAGTTTTGTTACAGCATTGATAAAACCAATTGAGGCATAGACGATCATTCCATAATGTCTCACTGATTTGTTTTTTTACTCTAGTCATGTAAACAAAAAGACAACTTACTCGGATCCTAGGCTGGCTTTTGCAGTGGAAGACAACGCTGAGAGAGGAGAAATCACACAGCGATTTGATGCATATAGTACTTGTAAAAGTATCTTATTAGGGAGAGACTTGACTGGGCAGTATGTTATTATAACGGGAGCTAACAGCGGTATAGGTGAGTATACTAGACAGAAAGAGAATTAACTGGACAGTATGTGATTGGATGCCACTGTTTAGTTTCAAACACATGTGATATGTGATTGGCTCTTTTGAATTCCATGTGATATGTGATTGGCTCTTTTGAATTCCATATATGTGATTGGTTAGTTTCAATCACATGTGATATGTGATTGGCTTTTTTGAATTCCATATGATATGTGTTTGGCGAGTTTGAATTCCATATGATATGTGATTGGTTAGTTTCAAACACATGTGATATGTGATTGGCTCTTTTGAATTCCATATGATATGTGTTTGGCGAGTTTGAATTCCATTTGCTATGTAATTGGTTAGTTTCAAACACATGTGATATGTGATTGGCTCTTTTGAATTCCATATGATATGTGATTGGCTAGTTTGAATTCCATTTGCTGTGTAATTGGTTAGTTTCAAACACATGTGGTATGTGGATGGCTGTTGTATGCCATTAGATATGTAATTAGCTATTTTGAATTCCATTTGATATATGATTGGTTAGTTTAGCTAATTTTAGCTAATTAGCTAAAATACAAGTGATTGGCTATTTTGAATGCCATTAGATATGTGTTCGACTATTTTGAGTTCTATAGGATATGTGATTGGCTAGTTTGAATTCCATTTGATATGTAATTGGTTAGTTTCAAACACATGTGGTATGTGATTGGCTAGTTTGAATTCCATTTGATATGTAATTGGTTAGTTTCAAACACATGTGACTGGTTTTATTTCAATTCCATATGATATGATATGTGATTGGCTATTTTGAATTCCATAGGATATGTGATTGGCTATTTTGAATTCCATAAGATACGTGATTGGCTAGTTAGAATTACATTTGATATGTAATTGGTTAGTTTCAAGTTTCAAACACATGTGACTGGTTTTATTTGAATTCCATATGATATGATATGTGATTGGCTATTTTGAATTCCATAGGATATGTGATTGACTAGTTTGAATTCCATTTGATATGTAATTGGTTAGTTTCAAACACATGTGACTGGTTTTATTTGAATTCCATATAATATGTGATTGACTATTTTGAATTCTATTTGATGTTTGAATCGCATGTGAAGTTTACTGGTATATACCAACATCACAGTTTTGTCATAACTTATTGGAGCTAAACTGGCTTAGTTGGGTAATGTTTTTGTACAACCACATGTTGCATTGTGTTTTCCCCAGGTTTTGAGACAGCCAGATCCCTTGCCATTCATGGTGCCCATGTGGTCATGGCATGTAGGAATTTAAAGAAAGCAAATGCCGCTGCTAAGAAGATTCGTGACGAACGACCTGAAGCCAATCTGGAAATTGAAGTCATGTTATTAGACCTTGCTTCATTCAGGAGTGTCCAACAGTTTGCTGAGAATTATAAACTTAGAGAATGGTAAGTGTATATTTAATATAAGCTAGTGGATTCCTCAGGTGTGCGTGATTATGAGACGAGACGAGTATGGGAAATCTCATAAAATCCCAAAGACACACAACATACTGTCCAATGGTGCGATGTGTAACCTATAAGTTGGAACTACAAAGTGAGCAGACATCCTGAATGCAACTTTAATAAACAAATAATAACAAATGCCTTTATCCCTGGGAATGGTGACATTGACAGACTAGATCAAGAAATATTTTAGATTAGTACGATTACCAAATACAGAACCTCTTGAAAGCCTGTAACGACGTGAATTTTTCAGCAGAATCACATTTGTTGTTGTATACTCAATCATTAAAATATTACTTATTTTGACCATAGAAACACCTGTAACTTACATAAGTATATGTGCTACTACAGTCAAACCTGTGTATAGCAACCACCCAAGGGGGGCTTCTTTAAAAAGGTGGTCTTGTATATGGAGGTTAGATTTCTTTTTTTTTATGGATCATTAACTCGTACATTTTTGTCCGAAATATAATAAAATGGTACTGTTGCAACAAAAACACATACATTTGAGCTGATCAGAATCAAAATCAAATAAATTTGATTTGAGAAAATAAAAAAAAAATGTTTTATAAACAGAATGTTACCGTAATTGTAATTTTTGTCTCTAAGCAAAGGCGAGTCTGCGAAAAAAATGTTGAAAGGGGGTAGCAACATTAGACAGGTGGTCTTTATACACAAGTTGCCCATACGTTATGCCTTGGAATAGCCTAAAAATGGTCACTATAGGCAGGTGGTCTTTATATACAGGTGGTCACTATAAGCAGGTGGTCTTTACCATAGGTTTTACTGTAATATGGCAAACACATGATAAAAATAGATTGAACATCTCGATATCTGAATAACAATAGCTATCACTCATTAGTATTCAGATTGTATTGGAAATAGTGTTATTGTCCCAGTTATGGATGATTTAAATGTAGTGTATGTATCAGTAGCTATGACAACCAGCTAACAGTAAAGATTGTCTAGTGTCCCACTGTGCCTCACGACTGGGATTATGAACACGAGTTGTGTGGTCATTCCCAACATGTATTGACAAGCACAGTTACTTCACCAGTATTGAAAAGCAGCAATATATAACTACTATTAAAATTAAAATCACAAAAACATGTATTTAATATTTGAGTTAATAAATTGTCACTTTCATATTCCTAAAATTGCATGTTGTATGGAAGTATTGTAGCAAATGATAAACATGATCCAACATGAGTGTGCTATTTAATTATTAATGGCTCTGCTAGTGTATTATTTTACCTTACAACATTTTCTACTAAATTTTAATAGAAAAAAAAATACTGAAAACATCTATACATTTAAATGAGTTACTCTCAAAATAAATAAAAATATAAATAATAAATACTGTCAAACTGGAAATTATTTGCACATTTTGCATGAATATGTTATGATATTGGAAGCGCTCAATACACAGTACGTATAATTTGTGTTGGTCATTGTTGTGAACATGAATTGCCATTGTTTCTCAATTGTTTTTATTCATATCGAAGATTAATTTGTGCTAAATATAGCATTAAAAATCGAATGTACTTTAATAACAATTAAACTGAAAGTCTATTTGAATTTTTTAGCATTATTCATAAAATGCTACGGCACACCGTGCTGATCACGATTGGAGCTATACTGTCACTGTCTTATTGAATGCCAGAGTAACAACTTGTTCAAGAGAGTTTTCTACTTGGATCTTGCTTAAGTTTTGACAAAACATTATTATTAATGTCGAAACAATGATTGTTGCTATGATTTTATGTAAAAGTTAAATGTATGTTTCTGGTCATCAGGTGCTCGAAGAACATTATGTTTCACTTGTTTTGCCAATGTATAGCGCCCTCTGTTGTGATGAATTGATGAAACCTGCACAATTTTTGTCCACCAAAAATTTCGACACAAAAATAAAAACTGCTCTCTCCAACCTGTTTGATGTAAAAAAAACTGAACCATTTTTTTTTTGTATGAGGCCTAAATTGAGCACTTTGAAAGAGAATGAACTTTGACCTCATCTCATTTAAAGTTTTCAAAATCTCCCAGATGGTGCACCATGATGACTTTACTAATATTTCTTTTGTTATCCTTAGGCCGTTGAATATCCTTATTCTGAATGCAGCCGTTTTTGGATTACCGTGGCAACTGACAGAAGATGGAATTGAGACAACCTTTCAAGTGAATCACTTATCACATTTCTATTTATTTCAACTCTTAAAGAATGTGCTCCTTAATTCCAACAATCCTCGGGTAACGGTCGTCTCTTCGGAGTCTCACAGGTTAGTGTTAAGACGTATGTTGCCATACTACGTGCATTCAATGAAAACGCTGTGTGAAATGTAATTGCAGTGGTCATTGGGTTGCATTCTGTTCAAGATGCAACATACTGGTAATGTATATGTTTCATGGGACTCACAATTTGATGACTGGGCCAGCTGCTTTAAAAGTTCTGGGAAAATGTATATAAGAAAGTCCCCGAACAGGACTTGCTATAGGTTACTTCTCAACTAACCATCTTCTTTCCTTTCCACTCTCTCTTTCTCTCCGTGCATCTCTTTGACCCACCAACCAATAACCATCCAAAATGGAAAAATCCAGCCACCCCAACTCATCCCCTATCACATAGCACCCCTCAAAGGCTCTCACCACAAAACTTCCCATCCTCATCCCTCCACCTGTATATACACATCAAAGGATTCACTACGTTCAATTATCCACCATAGACTCAGCGATTCTGCCAATGATGGAGAGATAAAATTTAGGTCAGGGGAAGCCTTATGACCCCAAGATTTTTTTCCCTTACATCACGAACCACGTGACCAAGGTAATGTGGCGACGCCAACTCACCTTGACCTTCACTCTTTTCTTTTCTTCGCATCGACAGGGATGAAGTCTAAAGATGATTACATGTATTTTCGAGTATGCACTCACTTAAGCTCAAATGTAATTATAACATAGACCCGATGACTGTTTTTCACTGTATTATTACAATAAATACTGACGAGATATAGAAAAACATAACATATGTCCCATGTTTTCAGAGATGCATCAACCAATTTTGCTGAAACGTGATTCAAAGTCCAATATCTAATGTGATCTGTATTTATGTACATGTAGTCTTACAAATAGCAGAAGTTGAATAGAATGATGATTTAAATTTTGCTGGCCGTAAACAATTTTTTTTTTTAAATACATGGATATCATATTGATGATTTGAATCTGAATGGAATTATGAATATTCATGAATCAAATTTCCTAAAACTAATATTAATATTCTGACTTTGAGTGTATATGCTGTGTGTGGAGAAATACTTGTTTACCATGAAATTAATGTATTTATTTCTGACCTATATTTGGTGGTAAACCATCAATTTCTGATGATTGATTGGCCCTATCTGGTTATCGCTCTATTAAATAGTGAATTAGTTTTTATCCAAAACAACTGTTACAAAATCTCTTCTTGCTGGGTAACCGCGAATAAAGCATGTTAGGAAGGAGGACAAAAGCCATTCAGAAAAAACAAACAATAACAAGCATGAAATGAACAATATATGTATCTAACTGATTTAGAAAATCATGTATTATCATGTCCTGTAGGATTTTATGGTGATATAAATCGGTAGTTATCATTCTTTGCTCATATTTTTCAGATGTCATGCCTTTATTTGATAGAACAGTTTTCTCTAAAAATGAGTAGTGACTTCATTTTTTAAAACTGTGTATTGAGTAGTTATAGTTTTGTTGGAAACAGTTTGTAATTAATTCTTGTTTGCAACTTCCTTCTCATTTTTAAAAAAAAGATACCCTTTTAGTTCTTGTTTGATTAAGGTCCCACCGGTCTGGAGTCATTACCCCCAACATGCTTTGACCAATCACATTGGACTTGTCAAAATTTGTGTGAGTTATTTTGTCTAAAATCTTAAAATCGCAGTATAAATGTGTTCGTATGGGTATTATTTCTTGCATATGAACAGGGCTTCGTATCAGGATCATACATACTGGGTTACAGGTGCAAGACATTTTAACAACTGTTTCTCAGAGATGGCATGCATATTATACAAACTTGTTTTTGGTTGCACATCACATTTTCTAATGAATCAACCAAATATTCTCAGCCAGTTTACATTACTTTGCCAGCAATGGCTGATAGCACCACAGCACTATTTGGCCAATTGTTTCACCCACATTTTTGGAATTTGGTTTTAAATGCAGAACAGGAACTGCGTTGTCAAAACTCGTCTTTTTTATATGATTAGGGAGAGAGAGATAAATGATTCATATACATGTTACATCGGGATCAACTTTTCTGCTCTGGTTTTTGGCCCTTCATCGTGAATTCACACAAAGAATTCTCAATAACATATGCACTCTGTGGCTGCACAGCAACAAAAATTCACTTTGTGTATTGTATCCTGGTATGCCAACAGCAAAGATTTGACAATTCTTATCATGGTTTTCTGTACATGTAGGTAAAAATACAAAACATTAATAAATACGGTAGAAGAAATACAAGAACAATTATTTCAACACTTTCATATTTTATATTTTTTTAATCACAGATTTGTAAATATTACTGGAAATAATTTTAATGTTGGTAACTTGTCGCCACCAAAGAATGAGTACTGGTCAATGTTGGCATACAACCGCTCAAAGCTGTGTAACGTTCTATTTGCGTTAGAATTACATCGTAGAATGTGTAATCATGGAATAGCATGCAATGTTCTTCACCCCGGTAATATGATATATACCGGTCTTCCCAAAAACTGGTGGCTTATATGGTTTGTCTATATGTTTGTTCGCCCTTTTACAAAAACTCTGGTAAGTCGAGATTAATGATTTATTTATTTCATTTTTAAAACTGCATTTGTACACGGACATCCTACATGTTATAGTGTTTTCATGTTGAACCTGTATATATTAAAGCGGGGGAGTCGTCACCTGTGCATGCGTCAGATGGTCATAGCATGTCATTGTTTACAAACAAGCGTCTACCCATGAGCCTTTGCGTTTTTAGTGTGTGTTATTGTCGCTTGGGACTCAATTCCCACGTATGCACAGGTGACGACCCTCCCCTTTTAAGTTCACTATGTTATACATTGCTGTAAACACTGTCAAAGATTGTCACTTAATTAGTATTTTATTGTCATATAAAGTCATGATCTATGCTCAATCCTGACAGATAGTCTGTCTGTTTTC